AAAGCAACACTATATCGCACTATTGAGAGCTTTTATCGATTTCTGAACAAAAAGGAATAACTGCATTTCCAGGACACTAAGAATTCACTGTCTTCTGTCACATTTTCTTCAGTTGAACACACACTAAACAATTTATTTATCACATGTTGTATATCCCAGTAACTAGCATCATAGTAGTTCATTGATAAAATTGAGTGGAACTATTGTGTCCAGAAGCAATATTTCATTCAGACTGAAGTTGGATACATCTATGTTGACAGATGGTTGCAGTGACATTTCAGTGGAGTCATTGTATGGCACATTGAGTTAGGTGAACAAAATATATGCAAGCGAAGATTGAAGCTGAAGCTATACGAATAAGAAGTCGAGAAATAAGAGTATGGTTGTGATACAAGTAGCAGTACTATTTGTAGAACTGGTTATACAACAAATCACGTTAAACGGAGTTCCAAAGTCCATTAAACAAACCCGAAATATCTTTCGATTGATGCACGAAATCGAAAATAGTGATACTTATAAGAGTTGAAGCCTCAGAACTACCTTGTTCTGATCTCACAGGCTTACTACTTTAAGCTCTTGTGTAATACGCTAAATATTCGGATGAATAACAGATAACAACAATGAGCGATGGAAAACATCCTAGTACATCTGCGAAGGCACGACTGGCGATTGAGCAGACTTACAAGACTGTATCTCAGGACATGTATTTCCAACTAAGCAAAAGATACATATACAGTCATAATAATTACAATACTATCAAAGTAACGTGGAAAATAATCCGACAACATTGAGTCCAGGTAGTGAACACCTACCGAAAATGCTAAAATATTATTGGCTGCTGTCCTATCAAATATGTAGACAATACTTATACAATTTGAAATCGTGGTATAGTTGTGTTCCCTGAGCTGGATGGTGTACTTGCGTAGCTCTCATTGCCTTACTAGGCGACATCTGACTAGGCGAATTCTTCAATTTGAATTGAAGTATGCGATGAGGATGCACGGTAGCACCTCAGGGAGCACAACTACACTACACCAAAACCATCCACCAGAGCTACACATCCTCCCCATTACATTCATTTCAAATGTGATTGGGAGAAATTCGAACCAGCCTATTGGCACACACAAAGCCATTATGACGAAAATCTCAATCGCGAATGTCCCATATACTCTTTCAATGTCAATCAGGATCACTTTCTCACTCCAGTGGTTCATCCCATCATCTTCCAGTAGAAGGAGACAAAACAACACATCCATCCCACCATAAGATGTATCAGTTTCACTACAATCATTTATTCAGAATTGAATTCCCGTAAAGATTATCTACCAACAACTGTTTCGTCCGAAACATCTCTCAATGAAATCAATTTCTCAACATTTAAAACATTAAGAAAAGCATTCTGACAGCATTCCTGCTACCATTCTTGCTTATGAGTGACATTGAAAGTGATATCAAAATATAGATGCTCTCGCCTCCCTCATCATTTTTTTCACAGGAAAACATGCGCTATGAATTATGATTTCCTCAGTCAAGTAAAAGTGAAGAAAGCAAAGATAACCATTCATCTATTGTTCCATAGGGAATTTAGTATGCATGTTTATCAAATTAGATGTGCCACTCGTGTCATCTAGTATGTATTGAAGTCTAAGCGATGGTCGAAACAAATTAATCCTTTCATCATTCTGTGAACGGTGTCTCAAGATATCATGCATCAGTTCTCAGCGAAAATCATACAATAAGTTGTTTCCCAATCAAAGTCGCTTTTCTTAACAGGACAAAGATTATACTATGTCCGAGTCGTCCAAAACCTTTTAAGATAATAAAGTTAATGACTACATGCCACCACATAGATTGACCCCAGATTCCATATCAAGTACTGTAACGTCGTCTCATTAAGATGTATGGGTCAATAAACATATTAATCACTCACCTCTTGGTCCATACAACAGCTTGTAGCAGGGTTCATTGCAGTAAATTTTGCCATCACGCTAAAATAGGGAAACGGTGAAATCAGGATTAGTATTCCATGGTTTGCCGCCAGTTAGCATTTCTCCCTGACAATATTTCATGCTCAGACCAAGTTGAGATGATATCTACACTCGATGTTCGTTCTTCCTTTATTCAAACTAATAAAGGGAATCGGCTGTATAGAATATCCACATTCGTTATGGCACTGACAGTTACACTCATTGAAATCAGATCAACAGATACGCGAATTAAGAAATACTGAGTAGCACGAAATGAGAACTATAGTCAATTATTCTGGATCGTTGTTCACACCTCATTTACATCCATAATACCATGTAGACGTTTTCAGGTTTTGAAGAAGTTCATTCAATAAATATGATGGTATTGTTTTTCATCAAATAAAACCAGCATTTACCTCATAGTACGGAGAGATTTCGACAAGATGCAAGCTCACAGTGTTAATTACAACAATTGATATGATAGAGAAGATTTGTAGCTCAGGTGGATAATTTTGATGTGGTTTTGTTCTCTGAGCTGGATAGTTAGTTTGCGAACTAACTATCCAGCTCAGAGAACAAAACCACATCATAATTACAACAATTGGTTCAGTCATGGGATATAATCTAAGTTTATGAAGTCACTGGATATTGAGGGAATCAAAATCTATGTAGCACCCTGCTAGACAATGAATAGAGGCTTACCAGAGTGGACAGACGAATAAATATTAGCATAATAGAAATGGGATATCAAACAGATATGAGGACATTGAGCTAATTTAACCGATGGAAATACACACAGACATGGACACCATTAATCTGTATCATTTCGAAACAAAAATGTGTATAATTCAACGGGGGAATTTTCAAAGTCAGAAAGGTTGAAGAATAAATGTGTTGTAAGTATTCCACTAGGAAGAATATAGTCTCACAATGACATCATGATAAGATTCTTTTGTCTCCAGAGAACTCAGAAAGCTGAAATTCACAGTGTCATCACAAACAGCTTTCAGTCTCATCAGTATACACTCCCAGTGAATTTGTTCCAACCTGACGATAAACCCACTCGCTCAGTATCCATCCTTGAAACAGACGGAAAACCTCATGATTCCTTGCAGTTACTCGATCCATCTATCTCGCATACGATTTAGTCACCTATCCTTACTCCAGTTAGATCATCTCAACGGTGTTGTACACACACAATAGGAATTTGATCTTGGTCGCTAGAGATCCATAATCTTCGAAATGTCATGTCATAACCTAGCAGTCTTCATCAGGTAGGTAGGATTATCAAAGAATGATTGAACTGCTAGGGGATTGGTAAACAAACATCAGCATTATTCCAATACCCAAGGTTTCAAAATAACCGACCACGGATATGACAGAAGTTGATTCCACTAGTTGTTACAATAATTTGAGTATGATTACATTGTACGCTGGTGTACACATCAGACATTGAAGTATTCAGTGAAAAGCAGTCATAAAACATTCGGAATTCCCATAAAACAGATAATTTCCAGTAGGGAAACAGGTGGATGACAGCATGCTCTCCAGGCCACACCAATCATAACGCCAACTATTCGAAGAACATAGTTGCTTATGTTTCACTGCTTGGATTGTTCTGGTGACTCTAAACTCACTATTCTACTAACTATTTATGTCAGGAGGCGCTAACATATATGCATTCATATACAATTGGTGGATGGTGGCTAGCAGTGGAATCCAGGATGCGCATTTCGTCCTATTTGGGACTAACTATTGTATATTAACTAAATGCCCAGACATCGTCGAAGCATCTGCACAAGAAGCCGACATGTCAACCTGAGACCGAGCACTTCGGTCCAATCAATCGACGGGAAAATCAAAAATTCAATTCAATATATGCATTCATTTGACAATAAGAAGCGGATTCAGTCGAAGTGATAACATGGCTCATTTATACAGTGACAGAATAACAGAAATATGGTATACTACTGATGATTATCAGCACCAGTTAAACGGATATATATAATGAACTAAATCATCTTCAGCATAATGCGATTTCTTATTTTAAAATGAAATAGCGAACACATTCACTTACTAAACAATGGGAGCCTGGAGCGAGTGTTTTGTTGCATCTATCACACTTCAAGCACTGACGATGCCAGTCTAGACCAAGTGAGCTGACACGTTCGGCTATCCAATAAATATTGTACAGTCACACTTACCAAAGTAAACTTCTCTGTCACACACAGGACACCTCATTGTTCTAAGAAGAAAATAATCCAGAAACTAAATAATAAATCTAACCAACCGATAGCAACTCAGTACAATCTACAATTCACACACTCTTCTTTGTTTCATAGTTTTATTGTCTACTTAAACAGTTTGCCTTAGATATTCTCTGTCATATGATCTGTCACCTGATCTTCTCAATGGTATTAAATACCAATGAAAGTCACACCTACAAGATATTGTAATCCAATAATATAAAGCTGCAATAGAGAAACAGGAGAGTGTCAGGCATTTCTCGAGTGGTTTGATTAAGTGATGAGATGACCACATTACCCTTTACTTGAAACTTACAATCTGCCACAATTTCTACAGGTGATCGAAATGACAAATTGAATTCTTTTAAATTTGAGTATGAGTAGGAAGCACATGACAAAGCAGCAATCGGAAAATAATGCCTAAGGATTTCATGAGAGTGTGCATCTATCGCTGATGTACGCCATTACAAACGCAGTGGTCGTTGTTCAGATATGAAAGTTAGGGTTATTGTAACCTGGAGAAAGTGACACACCTATATTCCTATGAAATCGTTCATCGGCTTCTAATTGTTAGGCATTATTTTCCGATTGCTGCTTTGTCATGTGCTTCCTACTCATACTCAAATTTAAAAGAATTCAATTTGTCATTTCGATCACCTGTAGAAATTGTGGCAGATTGTAAGTTTCAAGTAAAGGGTAATGTGGTCATCTCATCACTTAATCAAACCACTCGAGAAATGCCTGACACTCTCCTGTTTCTCTATTGCAGCTTTATATTATTGGATTACAATATCTTGTAGGTGTGACTTTCATTGGTATTTAATACCATTGAGAAGATCAGGTGACAGATCATATGACAGAGAATATCTAAGGCAAACTGTTTAAGTAGACAATAAAACTATGAAACAAAGAAGAGTGTGTGAATTGTAGATTGTACTGAGTTGCTATCGGTTGGTTAGATTTATTATTTAGTTTCTGGATTATTTTCTTCTTAGAACAATGAGGTGTCCTGTGTGTGACAGAGAAGTTTACTTTGGTAAGTGTGACTGTACAATATTTATTGGATAGCCGAACGTGTCAGCTCACTTGGTCTAGACTGGCATCGTCAGTGCTTGAAGTGTGATAGATGCAACAAAACACTCGCTCCAGGCTCCCATTGTTTAGTAAGTGAATGTGTTCGCTATTTCATTTTAAAATAAGAAATCGCATTATGCTGAAGATGATTTAGTTCATTATATATATCCGTTTAACTGGTGCTGATAATCATCAGTAGTATACCATATTTCTGTTATTCTGTCACTGTATAAATGAGCCATGTTATCACTTCGACTGAATCCGCTTCTTATTGTCAAATGAATGCATATATTGAATTGAATTTTTGATTTTCCCGTCGATTGATTGGACCGAAGTGCTCGGTCTCAGGTTGACATGTCGGCTTCTTGTGCAGATGCTTCGACGATGTCTGGGCATTTAGTTAGTATACAATAGTTAGTCCCAAATAGGACGAAATGCGCATCCTGGATTCCACTGCTAGCCACCATCCACCAATTGTATATGAATGCATATATGTTAGCGCCTCCTGACATAAATAGTTAGTAGAATAGTGAGTTTAGAGTCACCAGAACAATCCAAGCAGTGAAACATAAGCAACTATGTTCTTCGAATAGTTGGCGTTATGATTGGTGTGGCCTGGAGAGCATGCTGTCATCCACCTGTTTCCCTACTGGAAATTATCTGTTTTATGGGAATTCCGAATGTTTTATGACTGCTTTTCACTGAATACTTCAATGTCTGATGTGTACACCAGCGTACAATGTAATCATACTCAAATTATTGTAACAACTAGTGGAATCAACTTCTGTCATATCCGTGGTCGGTTATTTTGAAACCTTGGGTATTGGAATAATGCTGATGTTTGTTTACCAATCCCCTAGCAGTTCAATCATTCTTTGATAATCCTACCTACCTGATGAAGACTGCTAGGTTATGACATGACATTTCGAAGATTATGGATCTCTAGCGACCAAGATCAAATTCCTATTGTGTGTGTACAACACCGTTGAGATGATCTAACTGGAGTAAGGATAGGTGACTAAATCGTATGCGAGATAGATGGATCGAGTAACTGCAAGGAATCATGAGGTTTTCCGTCTGTTTCAAGGATGGATACTGAGCGAGTGGGTTTATCGTCAGGTTGGAACAAATTCACTGGGAGTGTATACTGATGAGACTGAAAGCTGTTTGTGATGACACTGTGAATTTCAGCTTTCTGAGTTCTCTGGAGACAAAAGAATCTTATCATGATGTCATTGTGAGACTATATTCTTCCTAGTGGAATACTTACAACACATTTATTCTTCAACCTTTCTGACTTTGAAAATTCCCCCGTTGAATTATACACATTTTTGTTTCGAAATGATACAGATTAATGGTGTCCATGTCTGTGTGTATTTCCATCGGTTAAATTAGCTCAATGTCCTCATATCTGTTTGATATCCCATTTCTATTATGCTAATATTTATTCGTCTGTCCACTCTGGTAAGCCTCTATTCATTGTCTAGCAGGGTGCTACATAGATTTTGATTCCCTCAATATCCAGTGACTTCATAAACTTAGATTATATCCCATGACTGAACCAATTGTTGTAATTAACCCTTTGAGCTTGCATCTTGTCAAAATCTCTCCGTACTATGAGGAAAATGCTGGTTTTATTTGATGAAAAACAATACCATCATATTTATTGAATGAACTTCTTCAAAACCTGAAAACGTCTACATGGTATTATGGATGTAAATGAGGTGTGAACAACGATCCAGAATAATTGACTATAGTTCTCATTTCGTGCTACTCAGTATTTCTTAATTCGCGTATCTGTTGATCTGATTTCAATGAGTGTAACTGTCAGTGCCATAACGAATGTGGATATTCTATACAGCCGATTCCCTTTATTAGTTTGAATAAAGGAAGAACGAACATCGAGTGTAGATATCATCTCAACTTGGTCTGAGCATGAAATATTGTCAGGGAGAAATGCTAACTGGCGGCAAACCATGGAATACTAATCCTGATTTCACCGTTTCCCTATTTTAGCGTGATGGCAAAATTTACTGCAATGAACCCTGCTACAAGCTGTTGTATGGACCAAGAGGTGAGTGATTAATATGTTTATTGACCCATACATCTTAATGAGACGACGTTACAGTACTTGATATGGAATCTGGGGTCAATCTATGTGGTGGCATGTAGTCATTAACTTTATTATCTTAAAAGGTTTTGGACGACTCGGACATAGTATAATCTTTGTCCTGTTAAGAAAAGCGACTTTGATTGGGAAACAACTTATTGTATGATTTTCGCTGAGAACTGATGCATGATATCTTGAGACACCGTTCACAGAATGATGAAAGGATTAATTTGTTTCGACCATCGCTTAGACTTCAATACATACTAGATGACACGAGTGGCACATCTAATTTGATAAACATGCATACTAAATTCCCTATGGAACAATAGATGAATGGTTATCTTTGCTTTCTTCACTTTTACTTGACTGAGGAAATCATAATTCATAGCGCATGTTTTCCTGTGAAAAAAATGATGAGGGAGGCGAGAGCATCTATATTTTGATATCACTTTCAATGTCACTCATAAGCAAGAATGGTAGCAGGAATGCTGTCAGAATGCTTTTCTTAATGTTTTAAATGTTGAGAAATTGATTTCATTGAGAGATGTTTCGGACGAAACAGTTGTTGGTAGATAATCTTTACGGGAATTCAATTCTGAATAAATGATTGTAGTGAAACTGATACATCTTATGGTGGGATGGATGTGTTGTTTTGTCTCCTTCTACTGGAAGATGATGGGATGAACCACTGGAGTGAGAAAGTGATCCTGATTGACATTGAAAGAGTATATGGGACATTCGCGATTGAGATTTTCGTCATAATGGCTTTGTGTGTGCCAATAGGCTGGTTCGAATTTCTCCCAATCACATTTGAAATGAATGTAATGGGGAGGATGTGTAGCTCTGGTGGATGGTTTTGGTGTAGTGTAGTTGTGCTCCCTGAGGTGCTACCGTGCATCCTCATCGCATACTTCAATTCAAATTGAAGAATTCGCCTAGTCAGATGTCGCCTAGTAAGGCAATGAGAGCTACGCAAGTACACCATCCAGCTCAGGGAACACAACTATACCACGATTTCAAATTGTATAAGTATTGTCTACATATTTGATAGGACAGCAGCCAATAATATTTTAGCATTTTCGGTAGGTGTTCACTACCTGGACTCAATGTTGTCGGATTATTTTCCACGTTACTTTGATAGTATTGTAATTATTATGACTGTATATGTATCTTTTGCTTAGTTGGAAATACATGTCCTGAGATACAGTCTTGTAAGTCTGCTCAATCGCCAGTCGTGCCTTCGCAGATGTACTAGGATGTTTTCCATCGCTCATTGTTGTTATCTGTTATTCATCCGAATATTTAGCGTATTACACAAGAGCTTAAAGTAGTAAGCCTGTGAGATCAGAACAAGGTAGTTCTGAGGCTTCAACTCTTATAAGTATCACTATTTTCGATTTCGTGCATCAATCGAAAGATATTTCGGGTTTGTTTAATGGACTTTGGAACTCCGTTTAACGTGATTTGTTGTATAACCAGTTCTACAAATAGTACTGCTACTTGTATCACAACCATACTCTTATTTCTCGACTTCTTATTCGTATAGCTTCAGCTTCAATCTTCGCTTGCATATATTTTGTTCACCTAACTCAATGTGCCATACAATGACTCCACTGAAATGTCACTGCAACCATCTGTCAACATAGATGTATCCAACTTCAGTCTGAATGAAATATTGCTTCTGGACACAATAGTTCCACTCAATTTTATCAATGAACTACTATGATGCTAGTTACTGGGATATACAACATGTGATAAATAAATTGTTTAGTGTGTGTTCAACTGAAGAAAATGTGACAGAAGACAGTGAATTCTTAGTGTCCTGGAAATGCAGTTATTCCTTTTTGTTCAGAAATCGATAAAAGCTCTCAATAGTGCGATATAGTGTTGCTTTATAAGCCGTTAGTTCATGCTAGCCCAACGCATACCGACCGGTCTCTGGATGACTCGCAGTAGACACCCACGCACAACCACTCGACACTGAACAATCTTCAGTTTCTTTTTGATTTGCTATCTAAAAATACTATCTATTTCTATGTGAATATTCTTCATACTTTGATTTCAGGTTATGGAGCAGTTCCTAACATTCCAAGCTATTAATAAATCTAAGATATCCGGCTTACAAGTTCATTTGTCACTCTCAATAATCAAGAATATATATAACTACTGGTAACATCGCTGACATGACTATTTCGGTAGTTTCATATAAATAATATCTTATTTCTTGATTCTCTAGTTTTCACACTTTGTAATAAAATCAATGCATAAAAGCTGAGAGTTTTGCTGTCTACTCATTATGTGATCTGTATCGATTTTGCTACTAGGGATGTTATTGGGGAAATATTCGATCATGTATATTCTTTCCTATACCATTCCGAGATTGACTGTTGGTGCATAGTTAGTAATCATGTTTGTGCAATGCTTTCTCACAAGTATATCATGTAGATAAATGACCGTTGAATATTTGAAGTGGAGGTACACCTTCTTCACTTGAGTGTAACAAGCCATTTGAAGAATAAAATGATGTCCATGATATAATAGAACATGAGTGTGTGGATGGTGTTTAAGAGGTGTGTAGAAGGAGTATGCAAATAGAAGAGATGAACTCAAACTGTGGAAAGTGAAACACTTGAAAGTGAATTTTTTGAACACGTGTTCTGCATTTATCTTACATATTTAAAGGCAAAACTCCAAAGATTTGATGGTTACGAAAGGGAACACCATATGTCCGTTTATTCGTATAGATACTCGTGGCACAGTCAGATAAATTTGCTTATCATCCATCTGAAAGTGTAGTAATTTGAAAGAGAATTATGATGATAACCACTTGAAGAATTATTGCATGGCATCTTCCTGTCACTACGTTCCTCACGGTTTCACCAGTTGCACCATTTTCGCTGTGCAGGTTTGTGTAAAGGTCCACCTACGGTATATTTGCGGGCTCATATCTCTGCGGTTTCAGCCTTATTCTTATAAGAACGGTTGAGTTTTCTTGCTTTTCGCGTCTGGAATTTTCAAACTGAGGCGTTTTCTATCGGTGATTTCCCATGAGTTGGTAATTCAGATAGACCAAGTGTTCGTTTATCGTAGTTTTGAGCAATTTAATTATTGGATTCTACTAGTATCCACGATCACCCAAAACAGGAAGAGTACGCGTTGTATTTGCATTTCTTTCAGACTGTTTGAACAGCATTGTTGTTGTGGAATATCCAGTTCGTATATTTTCCGTGGAGAGGTTTTCTGACTATTTAGTTATTTGTAGATGTGTAGTTCTGACCATCTCATCTCTTCTTGTATACAAAGTACACTTCTGATGTGAAGAAATCCAGTTGTAGTGGGGCGACAGTGTTAACTTAATTTACAGGATGTTGGCTTGGTTTATAGTGCATAGCTATCCTAACCGATGTAGGAACAAGTCAAAATATGATTTTCTATTCGTCGCCTCAGGAGTGATACCATGACAACTCCGTTCGATAAGCTGTGTAACGTGTTGTAGAATTGTAAATGGACACGCAAAGTATAACCGTTCGAGGAGGTTTACAGAAAATTTTCAGCGTTCTAGTGATCACAAGACCATATCCAGTGATGTTGGAAACAGAGAAGGTAGTTCAGCGAAGAGTATCTTTTCAGCGAATTCATTCACTTAGCTGTATAATCGCAACTACGTATACTGATTTTTGTATATGCGTGTGTGTGTGTGTGTGTGTCTGAGTGCGTGTGTACACTACGATTGTCTGATAAGAATACAAATAAGTTAGTGTTATTGTCGTCAAGACATTTGAAAAGTGTGATGAGTAATCAAATTGTAAGTAGGGTGGCGTTGGGAGTGGAATGAAGATTGATGAGAGGGTAGTGGAGATACGTTTTCAAAAGGACATAGTTATTAATGCTGATCAACACATGAAAGACGTTGAATAAGCACAGTGCAGTTACGTAGTAAGATGAGCAGTTTAACGAGTGAGTTGTGATTAGAATGCACATAGAAACTAGGAGAATATGGAGTTGTGTAAGAGATGTAAAATATTACAAATATCATTAGGAGTTAGAATAGAAGCCTGAGCCTTCTCTATTGATCACTTTATGCCTGCGTATGCCTCTTTAAAATCCTATTTGAGAATTATTTTAATCGACCAATACATTCGTCAGAACACGTTCAAAACTTTGCTTTCATCCTTGTGTTGGGTTTGTCATCCTAATTCTCTTTGCATTAAATATATGAAAAAGGTGATTTATTTTCTCCGGTGACGTTTTACGCTAATTGTTCATTTTTATTCTCAGAAATCTGAGCAATGTTGAAACACGTTATTTCAAACAACTCGTTGGGAAATTTGTTCTGAACTTCTTCAGGGAAATGAAATTGTCAGTGGACAGTTGTGACTTCTGTGTCCTGGATATTGACCATCTTTGAAATATTTTCGAAAATTAAAAATTACTAGTCAATAATTACTGGTCTACTGTGTGTGTATACAGTACATGCATACTCCTTTATCATCCTTTATTAAGTGTGTCAGAGCCAATGTCATGGTGACATGCTTGGAGTAATGAGAGAATCAGTACTTTTAGTGTGTACGTGTAGTATGATAGTGGAATAAAATAAGCTCAATCCAGAACCCTGATTAACTGATCTTAGGGTCTATCGACCAGTAAAGAAGATAAGAAGATAATGAGAGACGTTTCAAACCTGCCTTGAGAATCAAATAAGGACGTTTAAACTTCTATCAAAATGTGTTTCACCCTGTATGCCCTACTAAGAGTTGGCCTAATATGACGATGATGATGATGATTTCTTATCGCAAAGAAGAGTAATGAGAAATAAGAAGACTTCTTAATAAACATGTTATAAATGTGTAGTTTCATGCGTTGAGCACCTTGTGGTGTACATTGGCGTAAATTGCAGGGTGGGACGGGAGACAATGGTGGTGATGAGTCATAATAGATTTGTAGTGTGTGGGGTAGGAAAATCGACAAGTCACTTCAAGGTTATATATAATAGGTGTCAGGTGAGTGGCTAGTACATAGTGGTCTGTGTTAAACAGGAGATAGTAAGACTGGAATGAGAGGTTCATAATGAGATAACGAATATGTTAAATGAAACAGGTGGAGGCATATATTGAGAAAACAGATAATATCACTAATGATAAGTCCGTATAAATGAAAAATTCGACAGTATTGAGGGAATGTTTGCATAAAGGGCATAAATTATGACGAATAATAATAATTGTAATGATAATGTTTGTAATAATAAGCAGAGTAAAAAAACCAAGAGGGTTAAGGGGAAGGAGCACTCTTGGTGAGAAGAAGAATCATCAATCCAAGTTTGGCCACGGTAGGAACAGCGTCTGGAGGTGCTCTTTTTGGATACAAAGTTCCGGTTTAGTCGATCTTATTGCAACAGCTTCAGCTATGTGTAGGAGACGTAAGCGAACTGTACGTGATAACGACTTCGGAATTCGGTATATAACCCTGAGAGCTGTGTTGACTTCGATGCGATGTCCAGTATCGACCAAGTGTGACAGGATCGAGCTTTTTATGCACTTAATTTCCCCCCTGCTGAACCAAGCTGGTAAGTGTTCTCGAACCCGTATGCGACGCATAACTGGCCTTTATTGTAACGACAACAAATATTATATTTTATAATTGTAAGAACCTGAAGAGAAGTTATTGAGAAGAATATTTTTCGTTCAGATTGACTTTTAATGAAAATGTTCGAGTAAAGGTGACGGTGACCTGGTATGTATTATTAAGGAAATCGGAATTACAACTATTAGAATCCTTCTCTTAACTAATCTTTTGTTCACTCTGTCCATCTGTTGTTACACAATATTTTCGATACTTGTCTCTACGCTGCTTCCCGTGTCCCCTATTTACGTAACACTTTTTCTCATCATACTCCTCTTTTATTCTAAATCTACTAGTTTTCATCTTCTTAGTTACAATTCGATCAATACTCACTTCTTCGAAATATTTTGACGAAGTGAACACCATTCCAGACTAGTTTATCTTTAATTTTTGTTTGCTGTTTTTGACACACTGAATGTACGCACACACACGTACAAAGATGATTGTATATAGTTGTCATTCTACAGCTAAGCGGTCGTGAGTGCCAAGAAGACTCTTATCGCTGAAATATTTGTTCTTATTTCCATATCTACAGTGATATATTTCGGTGTATTGAGAACTAGCAAGGACTTGCAGTTACTTACCTCTACCGAAATTCAGTTTGGTCAGTTCACGTATGTCAGGTGAATCATGTCGGTCACAAATGTTCATGGAGGAAATAGAAGTCGCCAAGTGAGTTGTTAATTTTTATCCTAACAACTCAGCATTAACCACTTGTCAATGTGTCTGATGTAGATGAATATCGCCTACATATCAAGTTTATGGCGGCTCCATAAATTGGTTTTGTGGAGTTCACAAAGTTCAGCGGGAAGACGAGTACTCACTGACGATATTGATTGCCAATGGAGGAATATAGCGATTGACAGAAATCTAAACTGATGAGACATTTTGGGTGGTAAACGTCCTCACTTCGTTATCTCAAGGTTCTGGTCACATTCAAAGACTGTGTGGGACTCAGGTCAGGGAGTGACTATAGGCGTGTATTTTCCAGAATCCTAGTATTAAACTTATCACGGGAAGCTGTTGTCACGGTTACATAAGTTGTTCTATAAATCATGCTTGATTGCATTTGGTCAAATAGCTGATAGCAGTATTGTCTTTCGAAAAGGCTTATTCATCCCTCAGAAAAAACTAGTGACATCGACCTTCACGTAGTGAAGTGAGTTCATTTAACTTGGATTTCGTAGTTTTAAGTGGAAGAAACTCGTTTCGGAAGTGATCCTAAAATTAGCCTCTAACCAAAGCTACTGTTACTAACCCGAAAATTTTATCTCAATTTTGGTATATTCAAGCCTAAATGTGGTCATTTGTTTGAATAACTGTAGCCAATTTAGGGTTTAGTAGTTATGCTTCAAACATATCATAGTAGTGTTCCTGTATAACTCTCTGATTAACGTGGTAAAAATAAATATTCATTATTTTTAAATTATTATTATATTTCGAAATACAATGAAAAGTCTTGCTGTGCGTGAAATATTACCAAAACAAATTTATCATTACGTGTATTGTATTAGAGTAGCATTATAATACACTTGATCTACTCTGCAGACATTGAATCTTAGTTTTTTTTCCTGAATTTGGCTTTCTTAACCTAATTGGTCAGCTCAAGGTCACTCAGTCACTATTTGGCTGGTATGATCTGTTAACATATACACCACTAATGTGTACATAGTTTTAATAGGACATGTAGTGAACTAGAATTTGAACACTTTATAATGTGTCTCAATAGACTGACATGGTTCCTTATTCTGTTAGCCACAAAACCGTTGTTCTTATCGCCATGTATGTTTCTCATGCAATTTTAGACAGATTTTTAACGTAAGTACAATTAGTCTAAGTCACAAAGATAGGAACAGCCAATAGAATTAGTCAAACAGTTATGACGGATTAATTCATCTGCACATTAAAAGGACGAAGGTAAAAGACATATTATTTTACTAAAGATACAGATATTATAAGTAAATTAGTATTTGGACACACTTTAATTTATTTTGAATACCTTAGGACTTATCTTTTTCTGTCAATCCATCAAATATCTGACCGAATGAATTTATACTTTAAGTTTTCTTATTTTCAGTGAACATACTAGCTAAAAACTGTATCAGCTTTTATTCACTCATATTCAGTGTTTATTAGCTTGCTATTGACTATAGGTAAAGCAACACAGTAGACTGATTACTATGCATTCTTCAAAATTCATCTTTTTGTTTCATTTGCATTCGTGATACCAGGATGTGAAATATTTTGCATATTGAGTGTACTCAAGTATACTCATGAACTACTTAACCCAAATTACAACTTTGTTTGGGTATTTTAACTAAACCATCGTTGTATCAGGTGGAATTGTGTCAACTGTTGTTTAAATATAAATTCCTGAGAATCAATTCAAGAAGGGATTATACAAGCCATGCTAACTATTTTCGGAAATTATGAAAAACACATCCTTTTATAGTGTACCTTAACGTACACATAAGTGATAATTTTTTAAATTCATGGCTAAGACTGTTGGGCTCGAAAACACTGTAAACTTTTTTAATGATGATAGGTGGTGCAGTTCATCTATCAATAATATTTTAATTTTAGAACGATTGAAATGCTGAGAATTAAACGTAATTAGCTCATCCAAATATACCAATAAATGTCGTATGACAAGTTATTTTTATTCTTTAGCATCATGTTCGTATTTGTGAAAGTCATCTGATGAATCAATACTATGCTGTAATGATGAACTATGCGTTGGTTGACCACTAGAGTGTAGCCACTGTCGTATGCCTAGTCTTAAATGCTGATGCAGGGTTAATCCTATGCACCAAGTACGCTAGGCGACTAGCCACTTCCGATAGTCAGATAATCTTGGGCAGGTAAACTGATATTAATAAATTGGGCTATCATTAAAGGCGAAGTGAAAACTTGGGTGGTAGTGAGTTGCAAAAACTTAGCCTGACGTCATCTTCTCAATCTAACTGCCAAACAGACTTTCATTTTCTGGCAAAGTTCAACCACAGCGTCCCAAGGGGTGCGAAAGCACTAGTGAACTTGAGCTGACTAATCATAAAAATGAGGAATTTTCGTACAAAAATGATGTATATTTACAAGAAAATGGATGATGGGACTTAAAAATACGTCCGAGCTATAATGAGGAGTCTCAGCTACCAATTTAGACTAGAATTTGTACATGTATTCACCAAGGTGATTGAAGATGATCTGTTTTTGTGAATAGTTTATCTCTCTTATCCTCTTGTACAGTCTTACCCATAAGCCGTCGGCTAAATTACTATGGTTTTCAGTAAGAGGATCGACGACTGCTTACCGGGAAAATGTGGATAATAAAACAAATTAAAATAAATGGCATCAAATCTAAATCTATCCCTAATCGTAGCCCTAACCTTAGTCCTGAACCTTACATTAAACTTAACACTGACGCTAACCCCAACCCCAACTACAACCCTTATCATAACCGTAAACTTAATCCTAATTCTAATTATGACCCTGATCCTAACCCTAACCCCAGTACTTACCTTAACCTTAATCCTAACACTAACGAGCTGTTAATACATTGTCCAAACAGTACTTAAAAACATGGTCTTGGTGAAATTTGCTGCTTTGGTGGCGAATAGCGTTGATATTTCAGCTATGATAATGACAGTTGCCGTTAGCCAATGACTAGCATGAGTTCAAGGTCATTAGAGCGTTCGCACTCCTGGGACGCTATTGTTGAACTTAGCCCATTTTCTTTTAGTCGCAGAGGGTTTTATCCTTTTGTCATATGAGTAGGTGTTAAGTAACTACCCGGTTAAATACGTCCTATTAACTGCTCAACCAGCAATTCTCAATTCAATTTTGATCGTACTACGACCATTGATTACGATGGAATTCTCGCAAGTGGCATTGATTGAATAATTGCAAGTTTCAACAGAAAAAAATATAAACTCTCAAATCAAGAAATCATTGACTATTGAACCATAAAATAAGACAAACTATTGAATTAAGTGCACCAGAAACTAATTAACTCTCGATGACTTATAATTGATGAACACATTCTGAAAAATAACAACTCGTCGTGAAGAAATGCTTTAGAAATATATTCTTTTATAATGTACATTTTCAAGCAAACGTCCAAGCACAGACTGTATATTACGTTTATCAATCAAATCTTTCCAGCTTGGGTTTCATTGTATACCGCTAAAATGTAGATAGGATAATAAGGTTCTCCTTGGAATTTGTACCATGACAGTCAATGGTTTAAAATTGTTTTGATCACAAGGTAGCAACAGTTGCAGAAGGAATTGTCTCAAAGTGAAAGTAAACTGATTCGCTCTCATCACCAAAAACACATATACCATCTTTAGTCTTCCTACTGCTTAGACATTTCGGTTAATCAATACTCAACTTGAACATTCACCAGTGCTTTATTATGACTATTCATCAATAAAAGCTTTCTGTTACATGAACATTGAAGTACAGAAATATTCTCCTGAAATCGCATAACGAAAATTCTTTGGAGTATTTTGTTTTCATTGCTCTTTACTCGGTTTTATTCATCCAAATCAACTCCCTTCTGGGAATTTCGTACTGCATCACAAGGTAACTTGCCTACATGCAATAGCCACCAGAGAGCACGAAACTGTATGGATTAACCGAGAATACAGGTCTTCTTGTGAGAGTTAAATTCTACCTAAAGTATACCTTCATTCCGTCTTCTTTTCCCACTACTACTCATTTAAAATATCATTAGACATAAAGGTATGCTTGAGTAACACTAGTAGACATACTTGGATGATTTATGCTTTTTGTATTCAATCATTATACTGTCAAATGTGAATATTCTGGGTGAACCTCATGTGTGTTACTTTCGTATATTCGGTCAATGTCACTTATGTGCGAGTTTTGGACAATTCTACTTTTTCCTATGTTAAGTCAGAACAAAATCATTTTAGGGAATTTACAGTCATTAGAACTATGTGTACAATTCGGCCGCTATTCGAGCAGATTAAATATTAAGTATATCACTGTGAGAAAGATTCCGGTTTTGGTTCTCAATTTTACAATATGTAGGCTGCATTGTGTAATTATGCGACAGACAGGTTCATTTATCACACAGAAAGCTTGTAGTCTCGTGAGTCTTTCACAATTCTGATAGTGACATGACGATTTATATCCAGTGAAGTAAAGAGGCCAGCTATTCATTAGGTAATCTTCTCATCAGATATATAAAAATAGGTTTTTCTGTTGCAAATAGGACAAACTTCATCATGCGAAATTCTCCCGGAAAGTGGGTGAATAAACTGTTAAACAGATTTAGGTAACTTCGGAACTCGTAAATTGGCTGGGAACCTAAAGTATTTTCTGCTTATCCAAACTGGTTAAACTAGGTATTCAGTAATACTTCTCTGCACCTAAATAACACTGAAAACTATGTTTCTAAAGTACTGCATTCTAACAATGCGAAATTAGTAGGAAGAGGTTCAGCTGTCAATATTATGAATAGTAAAATGCTAAATACACACACACACACACACAATTAACTTACACATACAGATAACTCACTACTTTACAGCTAGATCTGACTGTGTTTTTAATTTCAGGCAGAAAGCTTATGCATAAAACATTGGAAATGACATAAATTCAAACAGATTCTTGAGGCTATCCAACTGATTTATAACACAAATAATCTGTTCTTGAAAATTAATCCTTTCCCAACGTCAAGCCAAATTCAACTTTAGACACCAGTAAGTACTAATGGAGTGCGATTGCACCGGTAACCTTGAAATGCTCACTGGGCAAGTCGGTGAGATCTGGCGAATAATGTAATCATGCATAAAATATGCTCAATAAAGTGTTATGTTAGTAAATGGGATATATGGCAAGTTTCAGCTTAGGTATGGGAAAGATTAATTTACTGTTTAAGCCAAGGACAAGTAAGGGTTAGGTTACCCTGAAAAAAAGGCGACATTAGGGTTCATTTGAGTTAGTTTAGGGATATTTTCACGTCAGGGTCAGGTTAAGAAAAAATTAGGGTTATTGCTAAGGTTAGAAGACCTAGATAATTACATGCATAGAATATGGTTAAATTACTAAGGTTTTTTGTCACACTGTAGAGAAATATATCTTATATAATAGTTTCATGTCTTTTAATTCATCACTTTCATGAATGTATGCGTTTGATACTCAAATATCGCCTTTATCATGCAGTTGGTGCTTTCAAGGTCATTTGTTTCTCCGGTACTTACTGGTGCTCAAAGTGTTACTTCGCCCAACGTCACAAATCTGTCAAGCGACTTTTACGCTCTGTGTTTCATTTCACACAAAAACGATGGTACATTGCCTCTCTTCTTTAGTGCTTCTCTGCATCATTTATATTTATCAAAAAAGGTATGTGCGAATTATGTGAGTTTTTAATAGTTGTAGGTTCCCTACATAAAAGTGAAAAAAATATTCATAATTTGTTCTTTGGACATTCTGCTTAACATGAAGTATGACTGATTTAAATTTCTATTAAATCAAAGACTAATGCTATAGCTGATCTGTCACCTTAGAAGTAACTACCTACTAGTTATAATGACTGGAAAATCTCACCTAACAAGTCCTATCACACCTCAAAAGTCAACTGAAGAGCAGTGGAAGTGGAGGTCAGATTTAAGGGTGGTGTGGTGCCGTCAACTTTACCAACTTGTAATAATCTCAAGATGTTTAATAAGGACACTTTTTTCTTCACATTCAGGAGGAGAGGGATCAGTAAACCTTTTCCTTATGAAATGCACGCTATTTCGTTACCAAGGTTTCTAGAAATGATGCAATGAATTTTATAGCACTGAATCCTCTATTTACTTAACAGCCACTTGGATTTTTCCCGAAACTAACAATGATTCACGTCTGTTGTATGAGGGCTAATCACACGACCTAGTTCCTAAACCTCTGCAAGCAAAGCAGCATTAGAACCTTTGAGCCAGTGGTTGGAAGCCCAGCATTTAGAACGATCAGCTCCAAATAGAGTAACTTTCTTTAAATGTCTGAGCTGTATCAGGTGTATTTCGGACTGCGTGATGATAAATAATTCAATAGCGATGTAGAAACAAAAAACTAAAGAGATATGAAACATTTCACTACCTTCATGTTCACATTACATAGTATCACATTTTTACACTAATTACAAAGTTGTCAGCTGATAAAATGATGCGTTAAAATATTTTTGAAGGATTCTAAATGAATTAATCTAGTCATTCTTAGATAAAGTAGTAGGATACTTAAACAGTAAAAATGAAAAATAGATAATAAGAGAAATTATTTATAGAAACATTAATTTTTGGTGAAAATAACTTATAGTGAAGTTATTCTATTCTCATGATTTACATTAACTGACGTCAGTTCATGATGAAATCCTCCAAATAACCAAACAAAATCACTACAAGGAACCAATACTTGAAAATTGATCTGATGCTCACTTGCGACTCGCCCTATTCAGGCAGTGACCTGGGCTTCTAGTGGGAAGCCGTTACCAGTAGGGTGCATGCAGCAGGTTGAATGTGAAGCGGTAACTCATCGTAGAAGACATTGAGAAGTGGTCGTGCAATGTCATGGATTGGCAGAAGTTAGAATTCATGCACTGGCTGGCCCTTGGATCAGGTGCCAGTTGCTAGTGAATGATCTATGAGCTCGGTGGCCTTGTAACCAGAAGGTCGTGGGTTCGAACCGTGGCGGTGGGTGTGTACTAACGAAGAGTCCAAAACTAGGACGAAACAGCTGTCCAGTATTCCCTCCAGGTTTTTCAATGACTCTCTAACTGATTGTCAGCTCATGATGAAATCCTTCAACCAATCAAACAAAATCCCTACAAAAAGCCAATACATAAAAAAAGCCTGAATGTTCTAGTCTACCCAGCACAAAGAATGACCCTGAAGGACTGAACATGAAAGCTGTGATAAATACTTGCTTTGCATTTACTAACTCACCACTAATTATGGGGAGTACATTTTTAGTGCTTAGCTTATTCCCACCTGGTAATTATTGACAACTGGCCACGATTGCTTAAACCTGCTATAAAGGGCTTAAATTAGGACTATTACAGTTTTATACTGTAACAATGAACTAAAAATATGAGTTTTCCAAACCATAAGAAGAATAACCGTAGAGCAGAAGATTCCACATGAATTAAACTGATACAAGCTGCATTATTCATGAATAACAGATCTAAACCTGACGAGTTCAGAACTAAATTTGTCAACTAACCTCCTAATAATCTTCGACATAAAAATTGAGCTTGACTGTTGTTTAAAACATGCTAGTTCACTCATGCCGTATAAATGTATGATTTGAAAAACAATGAATTCAAATAGTGCACTAATAATCTAATGTCTAGATTTACGCTAAAATTTCTTTGGAATATCTTGCTTTCATAGCTACGTTCCATTAAAATTCATCGAAATCAACTCCTTTCTGGGAATTTCGTATTCTGTCACAAAGTAACTTGCCTACATGTAACTGTTAGACAGCCACCAGAGAGCAAGAAAGTATTCTTATTGATTTTACATGCTGATAATCGGTTTCAACGGAAAAATGAAACGCTACTAAGTCCTTCTTAACTTCCAATAAATCTTTTCAACATAAGTCTTTTGTTGCTGGAATGAATGAAACTAAGTGGCCGAATGCAGGAAGCTTAGATAGTTTAATTTCAATATCGCATCTACTGAATAACAAAATAATACAAAAATTTATTAAAATTTAGAAACTTATACAGAAAGACATGAATTAATTTTGACTATCCAGTTGATTCAAAGTTTGATTGTTTGGTAATGTCTTTCGTTTCACACGACGACGACATCGTGTTCTTTCCCATCGTTTGGTTGCTTCTTGTAGTTTTACTAGTTCATTTATACGATTTAAAAAGTCAGTAGGTGCTCCAGCCATTGGATCCATATAACCCTTAACGTTCGCCACTGTAAAAAAAGGTAATACAAGATTATTTATTCTCTGTAAAAACAGATTGTACAATAAACAATATAAATAGCACTTGGTATATTTACTGACTAGTATAAATTACATTCCCATGGTCTTTAGTTGTATAGTGGTACTTTACAAAGAAGTTAGATCCAATTAGTGATGATAATTGACTTGGTTTGAGGGAAACTTATCAAAGCGTTATTGTTTCTCATGGTATTTATTCATGAACTTTATCTTCACTTTACAAAATACATGAGGGAGAAGAATAGAATTTTGTATGCATTATTAGGCAGTATACTACAACATGGATATCAGATTCCCCTAAATATTCACATTTGACAGTATAATGTTTCAGTACAAAAAGTATAGGTTATCGAAGTATGTCTACTAGTGTTGCTTATGCATACCTTTATATCTAATGTTATTTTAAATGAGTAATAGTGGGAAAAGAAGACGAAATGCAGACTATCCATTCTGCAGACTAACCAATAACGTAGTAATTAAGATAAACCAAGTCTACTTGTTCGTGTCTGTGTTCATTTCAGTTTACTTATGCATGTTCTAATATCAACAATTAAAGGAACCCTGACAGTTATTGCTTTTTTACACCTTTACACTGAGTGTGTCACCGAAGACAATAAACGGGTTCCAGAAAGACTTAAGGCTTCCAGCCTACTCTGAAAATATTTTGCCGTGTAGTCTTTTCATAACTATCTTGTAAGATGTAGTTGGGAGGTCCAGATATTTTTTACATACATATTAGTTAAGCAATACACTGATTATCAGGTAAAACTAATCAAAAGAGTATAGTTATGGAGTCAATGTTTTAAGTCCAAAGATCAAATAGAAAATGTGAATCAACTGTATTTTACTCAAAACATTTACCTCCAAAAAAAAATTTCCTAGAAGAAAAGAAATAGACTGTGTCTTTTTAAACGTAGTCCATCTAGCGGTTTGAAAAACAAGGATCCCAAGAATGCTTAATATCTATGATAAACTCATTTAAACCCATCTACTGGTAACTGAACTAATCGTTATTTAAAACTGTCATTACGATACGATTTTCAAAGGATAACAACATCTCTCACCAGTAATAAAGCATGCCATAATAACTGCTTTCCAGAAAGTATACCCCAGTTAAGCCAAAGAGATAAATAAAAGTTAATAGTCCGTGTCTATTCAAAGATAATACTAGGTTCACATTTTCCAATAACTCAGTGATTGTAAGAACACAACTTATTTGCACATGACTTTTTAATGCAGTTTTTTTCAGAATTAGAGCTATCATATGATACGGTTTAATAGTGTGGCAGTTACAACAACCTATATTTTCCAATAAAAACTGTATTAGATTTCATGTAAAGAACAGATGTGTTTCTCTAGCTTAATCTCTCGTTCTGTGTATACCCATGCTTCAAAATCATGCTTCTATGGCAATACACAAACACTAGAATATATATATAATTCCAAAACTTGTAAATTGAGATGATCACAAACAGATGAGTAGCATATCTGTTTACTTAGTGATACAGACCATGATGTTAATAAAATTCAACAAATAAACATTATCAGATGGTTGAAAGCAGTTGGTAGGATACCCTATACCTAGTTTTCGTGGTTATTGAGACAGGTCAGCAGTCTTGATTGATTTTCAAGTGTTGGTTTTGTAGGGATTTTGTTTGATTGTATGGAGGATTTCATCATGAGCTGACATCAGTTAGAGAACCACTGGAAAACCTGGGAGTACAGGACTGCTGTTTCGTCCTGGTTTGGGACTCTTCATCAGTTAGAATTCAAGGACCACTGGATTGGGTCCCAGTGGCTCAATGGTCTACGAGCTCGCCTTGTAACTAGAGGGTCCTGGGTTCGAACTCTGGCGGTGGGTGCATTCTGATGAAGAGTCCCAAACTAGGAAGAAACAGCTGTCCAGTACTCCCTCCAGGTTTTCCGATGGTTCTGCGACTGATGTCACCTCATTATGAAATCCTCCATGCAATCTTGATTGAACCTATGTCACCTCTGTGGTTCAAAAGCGCATCACACTACGCTACAGTCAGAGACATTCTCGCTGAACTATTCGGACCTCTAACCATATAATAAGAAGTCAAAGTACACCTCGATGGCAAGTCTGCTTGCTTGATGACCATATTACAAGCTTCAGCTCCAACACTCGGGACTAGACATATGACAGTCATCATTTGTAAATCAACAAACGCATTGGTGCTGGGAATGAGATAAAGAGGTACAACAACACGACTCACTTCAGATAGTTAGTAAGTAAAATGCTAGAAATTTAGCGCTCATAAAATATAATGCATTACCTTTCCACTTCACTTTGTGACAAACGAAACATACGAAAGTTGGCAGTTTGATAATTTCAGGTGTCAGATAGGACTAACATGCCAAATACTTCCTCGATTTACTATATAGATTTTTATTAAAGTTGTTAGGTGACTGGAAAGGATGCTCGAGAGTCAAGGTCGCGATTTCACATTACATTTCGAAAATGTCAGCTGTCTTGGGAACAACCAACACAAAACTTTGTATTTACCACCATCCCACCAGATGGATTATGAAATCTCATAGAAATTCGAATTGTACTAACTTAGATGGTATGAACTCACTGTCGCTAGGTGACGAGAATAAATTTGGGGCTGATCCAATTCATTATTATTATTATTATTATCAGTCTGCTGAACAAAGACTGTTTCAGATAGTCTAATCGACAGAAATGAAAACTGTCCACCTAATATGACGTTATTATTGACTGACAGTCATATGTGAAAATAACTTACTGTAACTTGTTACAATAGAAATAAAGTTACCATTGCTACAATTAGTCACGGTAAATTGTATCCAGTTACTGATACTTACACGCAATAACTGCCTAAAAAACAATGACAATACCCAGGATATAATGATATGAACAAGGTGTCTTGTTAGGACGAGAGAAGATTCAATTCACAGAAAGTCTTGGAAGTCTTGTTTATCTACTGTGTTGTGCACCATATTTTAGGAATATACTATTAATTTTTATGCGATAATTAACTTCAGAATGAGTGAACCAGTAATATTTCTTTCTTATGCTGTCATCCTGAAGTCTACAAAACCCGATCTCATAGCTTAATTTACCGCTTTTCCAGAGAGAAAACTGATCTAGGATTATTGTATAGCTTTGACTGAAGAAGAAATGATACTTCAGAAAGGAACAATCAGTCAATCGAACCTCTGTTCATCGAATCCAATCTTAACGAGTGCAATAAGAATGACACAATGCCTATACCAGAGATGTGAAAATTACTACTACCAATAAAATCAAAGGATAGAAAATAATGGAACTGTATAAAAAAATGTGGAAGTAATATGACTGCCTTTGCCTCCCTCTGTTTGTGTAGATGGGGTACACAACTTTGATAATCTCCCTACCTCTCTTTCAGAGAAAAAATGGTGCTGTTCACTGAACAGTAGACAGAAAACATATTCTGATCTGAATAATTTCGGTTTCCCAAGGAAACTGTGGTGAAGTAGTCACCTCAAAATGTGTAAATTACGGATTTGATTTGATAAATCAATAAAGAATACTTGAAATCATTATGATAAAACAACCTACTTGTTTTCTTTATATGAAATCTTAGATTATACAGACGAAAGTAGTAAAACAAACCATAAGATTTACTTAAATATGACTTCAACTAACTGTTGAACAGACTGTACTTTTCAGAAGTATGATGAAAATAATTAAGCAACACCTTTTTCCTTAAAAACAAATGGATCCATTAGTTTCTTTTTTGTAAACAACCAATCCTCAACAAACACAACTAAGAATGCCCAGAATTTTAATCAAAGTTAGAATAGCCAAATAAACTGGCTATGAACATTTGCTTTTTTTAATGATAGTTCAAGAAATAATAGAGACAAGATAGTCTTTTTTTAACCGATCTTTGACGCAGATGTCAATAAGAAAAATAAAAGGGAACTTGAAACTGGTACAACTGACCTGACTGTGACTGCAATTAGTTGAAGTCTTATCCACATGACTGGAAGTTATTCCATGTTTTACTCTGACTGACACCACCACTTCACTATTTTTAAATTTACAACAAGACTGTTCCATTTCATTAACTAAGGCACAAAAGAAATCTTACAGAAAAGTCCATTATTGATATCTTAAAAGTAAGTTCCCTTCGTGTAGACCTTGCAACACTTACAGACTATCACTGTAATGTAGATTTTATTACTAAATATAACCACTTTCCCTGCCTCTTAATAGTGGATAAGCATGATACGCATAAGAATGCCGTACTGACCTCAAATCGTTAGCAATAAAAATGAAAGACTGTCATCAAAGCTTACTAATGTAATTTTTTCCCAAGTTGAATTCTTCTCCAAAAATTTTAAGTTCAGTATTTACAGATAAAACAAGATTCTGATGCTTCCATCACCTTTGACCAGTGATTCTGTACATGTTACTGGAGTTAAATAAAATGCCTATTATCAAGTGGCCTGGGGGGCATAAAGTATTCCCTTTGTTATTTAATAAAAAATTGTCTGTTATACAGAGCAGATAACTTAGTATCCTAACCTTTCACTTTGACTTGATATAACTTCTAAACAGTACCCAAGTATATAAATATATGATGTATTAAAACTATATAAATGAAAGTAATAAATAAAGTGGGCGAATATGAATAAACATGAGGTTCGTATAAAGTTAGACATTATAAATTCAAAACAATAGGAAGGCAAAACCAGTATCTTTCAAAATCTTCATTTTTCGCGTTTTACATAAGTTCTGATACTATTATTGGATGTCATACAAAAGATTGGTAATTCATCAGTTGGTCGCTAGAGAGTAACAGACCTCATGTTCTGTAGCCTTTAATACTGACTGGATTTCGTCCATTAAGTTTCTATAATCACTGGGATCTAGAAATTGGTCACTCTCCTGTGATTAAACATTGACTATAGTACAGTCCTGCAGTATTAAGTGACACGATTTCAAATCTTTAAAGGGACATAAATTTCCTCAACTTGTAGACTGTGAATGAGTGCATGACATTAAGTCTAGGGTTTTCTGTCAACTGTGTCTAAATATACAACTTCATTTCGAAGTGTGTAATCCAACGCATTCCTTCCCATTTATTTTCACCAAAGATAGTTTCATATTTTGAGATGGTGTGTGGCTGATGTTTAGATAGATTCAATTACATTGGTGGAAATTACTTTGTACTGGACCGACATACAAACCCAGTATAACATTCTGTGCTCCATTTATGGATAATACTGTTGAGTTGTTTAACTTGAAAACGATCCTTTGTAAGACTGAATCAACTGAAGTAATAATAATAATAATAATAATGATAAATAATTAGTGTCTGCTTAACTTCATAAATCTCCAAGTGAGCATTAGTTTCTTTAAAGTTACATGGAAGACTACCTGTTGGTTATCACTAAGCATGAATCTTAAATGCAAAGGCTTTTTCCCAAGTGCCTCTAACCGTTTGAAGTCGCACTTACAAGCCGTGTGACAGATAGGGTTTCAAATAGTATCATCTCAGATTACCAGTTCGGTTATCTACCGACTGAAGTACAAGACACAGATGTTGATCAGATGCACTACCAAGGGTTTTTTTCTCTCTGTTATACAAATGCGTCTTACGTAACTATTTTTTTCATAACAGCACTAGTTGCCCAGATAGATAGATATACTAGTCAGAATTTAAATCGCTCTAAATTGCACAGATTTGTTTTCTTTGGACTATATATATATATATATATATATATATATATATATATATATATATATATATATATATATATATATATATATATATATATGAGATAGTTTTCACTACGTAGAGTATATTTACATTGTTTTAGAAATTTGTATTTTAAAACTAATATATCTTGTTCAGTGTTTTAGAAAAAATGATTATCTCTTTGTAAACGTTTGGTCCAAATAATAGTAGGACAGACCTTGTAAACAAAAACAACTGAAGGTATTCAAAGAGAAATTTTATGTAGGCTGAAAACAGGTCAGGCCGTGTGCAATTGCTGTCGCACATACAATATTCTCATCAATAGTTGTGTAGGTGGTAAACTAGAAAAACGGCATCAGTCTGATTCTGATCGTCACAAATGCCAATATTGTATGCAACAATACTGAGAAGAAATCAATTCAAACTAAGATCTTTAACTGAGACAATTGATTTTTGTCTCTATGTATTTTCACTGTAGGAGAAACTGGCTGTGGCTCATATGTTAAGAGACACAACACTACTAGCCGGTACTTCGATTTATTCGGTCTATTGCCTAAGTAATATCACTATTCTTCATGACAAACCTGTACCTTTTTTTGTGGGTTGCATAGATATTATTCATACAGAATTTGTAAAAAGAGATATCTTAGTCTGTTAATTTCATTAACGTTCATGAACTCCAAAAGAATAAAACAACACAAAGATGACAACAACTACGGGCTGAATAAAAATGTCTTGCATTATTCTACGATGTAAACCAGAACAAATTCAATCATGAATAATGACGAGAACTAAATAACAGATTCTCTTCATCCACAATACTTCACTGGTAGTTGAAATGTCTACAAAATCTGAATTAATTTTGTCAGGGAAATCAGTTTTATTTGTCATTCAAGAAAACTACTTGAAAATACATTATCAACATTGCGAAGATTTCCTTAAGGGAAAGACAGTACACAGATGGATTAATTTATGGTAAGTGATAGACAAACTCATGGGCCATTGGATGAGGTCCCAGTGGCTTAATGGTATACGAGCTCGCCTTATAACCAGAAGGTCCTGGCTTCGAACCCCGGTAGGTGCGCGCTGATGAAGAGTCCTAGACTAGGACGAAACAGTTGTCCAGTACTCCCAGGTTTTCCAATGGTTCTCTAACTGATGTCTGCTCATGATGAAATCCTGTAATAAATTAAGTTGTTTGTTCATAAATGTTGATATAAACCTGTTCATCAAGTGTAGAACGCTTTAATTTGATTCCAGAACTAAGTCTAGTTACTGGTAGCAGGCATGTTTTGCTGATGACCGGCAGAAAGCTTAAAGTATATGCTCGTGAACTGAATTCCTATCCACTGAAGTGACAGCAAATCATCATTAGAAAAACCGGCCTGTTATGCTATATAAAGCAACATCAGCTTCATTTACCCTTAATCAAAACTCATCATTCTACTTTTTAATATATGTATAAAACTTGAGCACTGTGGCAGTATGTAATGTATGTATGATTCAACACCTGTCCCAGACATGTGGAAAATTCTACTACCCCTACGACAAATAGAAGAGAACAAAGAAAACTATGAAACGAAAGTTTCGAAGTTGTGTGATTATAATTGATGAAATGATTATGAACAGCAATAAATTGTGTTCGAAACGTCATTCAGTAAATAATAGTTTCACTGTGTGATAAATCTAACAAACAAACTAGTATGGAGTTCTACTTTTTCTCATCTAAATTCGTCGAAAAGATGCATTCATTTGTGCTTTTAGCCTTAAAATAAGGCTAAGACTAAGTGATGTCCTAAGAATAACTGATATAAGCTTTATTATCGGTTCTGGTAAGAAAAACAATCAGTTTACAATGTAATCAGATTAGAGGTAAAATGAATTATTAAATCTACTAATGAAACTAATTTTACTTCATTTGTTTATAGATAAGATGACGTGTAAGTACAGCTTACATTTCTCATGATTATTGGTATTTGTATGCGCTGTCAATCATATTAGGAATGTGCATATCATGTGGCTCATTTATGCAGAACAAAAAAAGATAAACATAATGCAGTAAATGAACAGTTTTAAGATTTATATATTCTCCATAATGGAATTATATATTCTCAAGTTATAAACCTTTTTCCAATCAGATTGTCAGTGTGTAGTTAAAGTGGTAGGGACTGATATTTTTAACTAAATGCATTGATTAACTAAACTACACTCAAATCTTAATAAGCGTTAATTCCTTTCTTAGCTGTTCCCTGCTTTCTTTTCTTTTGTGTTAAACTTTATGCTACTTATCATTAGTAAGTAATATAAACTATAAATCTGCTGAAAAAGCTGTGGCTTACACAGAGAAACGTTCAGAAAAATCTTGTTTTTATTTTCTTAACACACTGGGATTAATTTAAATAATTTATAATAATATGAACTATGCTTTCCTTAGTAAACATGAGTCTGCTGTTGAGGTTTAACTCGCTTAGTGTAATTACGCTGTATTTGATGTATATTAGTGATTTTCGAACATTTTTTGCGGTGTATGCTTTACTCGTGTACACGTTGCTGTTAAACATCGTTTACCCGTATCCTTTTCTTCTGTGTCCAGCATTCACGTGCCGTTTAAATAGCATGTGGATCGCCTTTGACACAGCTCCGTTGTTTTTACTCATTGACGCACATTGACTGTGCTTTTTGCCGGGATTCAGCCACAGACACTTCACAGGTTAAATTTGTATATTATATTTGATATTTTGTGTTTAGTGTAGTACCGTATTTTAGACAAATCCTGTGTTTTCGGATTTTACGCGTCACTCAACATGTGGTTTTAATTATCGTTCGATTATCATCCCGAATTTCTTTTGCAAGAAATTCACTATAATGGAGTTGAAAGGGAAAACTCACGGTGCATTAGTACTCAGTGCGAGGAAGTAATAAAGTGATTTATGCCTTGAATGAATCCAGAAGTCCTAGTTTGTTGCTATTATTATTTATTCCAAGGTCAATTTTTTCACGAATCATTATGCGTAAGAGAACCATTGGGACCCTTCAGCAGCTGTCACCTACTATTACACCAGGGGCACACCCTTGGAAATTTAGGTTATATAGCGAGTCCATTAATCATACAACCATCTGGTTGGAACCCAAAGACTTGATTTTTCCATAGTGGTTCTATGCAGAAAAGACCATGCAATACACACACCACTGTAGATATAACGTTAGATAGTAATTGTGGAAGAACTCAAATGAACAAAATAGCAGGAAAAACGTCATGAAATTGTTAGATTATCTAAACGAAAGTGACTTCATCAGACTTTTACTAATCAGTTTCTGTTGTTGTATAATTAACTCACTAACCCATCTTTCTAGTCTACTGCGCTCCAAATTTACTCATAAAATTGTTTTTCATATGACATCAACTATTAATTAGTTGAGGTTTAAGGATAACTGCTGACAAAAGGATGTTTACGTTATTAACCTATGACTTTTTATTGACCAGCTGAACATCTCAAGAAGCACTAGTACCGTGTAATCAATCCTGCAATGAATTTCTGATGTCACACCTGTATCGATATCAATAAAATCTGATAGCACCTAGATGACTTCTGTATGTTTTTCTTTCTGTATACCGTGCGTCGGTGGCAAGGTGGCTGGGATTCTCGCCGACCATGTACATAGTCCAAGGTTCAATCCCCTGCCGACGCACACCTGATATCTATGGTTGGCCTGCAAAATTTGGGCTACCGATATCACATGCTGAAAATTCCATACTTGTACCAAAAACACTGTGCGGAATCAAGCTGTAATAAAAATAAAATAAAAAATATATCAGTTTGAATTCTCTCTGGTTTCCTGTGACTTTTTTAAGCTCTACACTTTGGACTGATACTGACCATAAGAAACATATTCCATCAATCATAAAATAAAAAGGCGAATCACTAAGTAAGCTGCTGTTAATATATAACAATCACAGTGGTGTCATGGTGGTTAACTCATGGAGCATCCCGAACTATAACAAAATAGTTATTCAGCAGTGTATACGTTTTTAATGGTTCTTTAACTGATATCGGTCACTGATAAAATCCCCATTTATGACAAATTTTCATTTGAACACATAATTTTATCATCTGTTGCTGAAACTTTCATCCAGATACATAAATAAACGTAGATTTCAAGCTGTATTCCATATACCAATCCAATTAAATTTACTATATGATAAGCATATACATTCCAAAAACGTTTATATTCAAGTGAATGTTACCATGGTGCTTTAGGTTAAATAGACAGTAAAACGTTTCACCAACAAAAAAGTAGGCTAGTTGTAAGTTTTGTCATATTATATGACAAACGATTTCAAGCTTGCCGTGTGAAATCTATAATTTTGGTGGTATCATAAATATCTGAATCGATAGAGTTGTTCACTTAACCAAAGTAGAATTGTTATCATCTATTTACGAATGAGTAAATCATCTAGGCTGTATTTGTAGCAACACAGACGAAATTAATTGTAATTTCTCATTATTGTTTTTGTATGCCCTAACAAAATAATAACTACGGTTCCTAACATCGTATCACTGTGTTATATCTGATAAACCACCAGTGTCCGAATTCTACTCCTACAAAATAATAGCTCTTTCGGAATTTCAAATATACTTAGACAGCTGATCTTTGGTTAGTTGCGTAGATCCTACAGTACATTGTTATTACAGTTAGGAATTGCTCAATTTTTAAAGCATAAGTGATAAAATAACAGATTTTTTCGGTGTTGTAGCAGCGAGTGCCAGCAGTTACTCTTTCATTTAATAAAGACTTAATTCTTGAAGATGCTGCTTAGGATAGTCTTGAGTTAATAGGCTGCTACTCATGTAACGGGTGATGACTTAAGGGGAAACAAAAGAAATATGAGCCAGGGCAGCATATGAACTGACAGCCATGACATTTCCAAACTGGCACTCGGCAATCCAAACTTCACTTATCCCCCATTACAGTGATGATGTTTGTCAGTTTAAGGCTATTCCAGATAGTCTCATAGTCAGTTAATAATCTAATGCCCTGCTAATGTGGAAGCAACAATTACGTACCATTAATTCACATTAGAAAATGGCTTAATGGCTGATGGTTACAATGAAACGATGATCCAGTTAGTAGTTGGATTCAATGATTCAACTTGGTAGAGTGTCAGATTAATATTTTGGGGTCACTGTTTTGAAACCTAACACAACTCATTTTCAACAATGATGCGTTACAAAGGTACAATTGGTGAGCACTTTATCTTAGAGCTTGCTAACATCAACTTATGATGAATCCTATACAATTGATCACAGCAACTGCAGTAACTGTTTGGGTTCCTAAGAGAAGCCGTAAAATTTGTAAATGCATACTATGTGTACCGTGTGTTTGTGTATTACGAATCGTAGTTTTAAGATGCTGTTTAGGGTTGCGCGTATGAATAATTTGACTAACTTTGTATTCAACATAATCTCACTTCCGTACACTGAACTTAAAATACATAATTCAGGATATTGATAATCCTAAAATTGACCTCAAGTGTTAAGTAAACTGACTTCAAAACTATCTGTAGTTGTTTAATCAAAGTTAACTACTAGTTGAAGTTTATTCAGAATCTCAGGAAAAAAGAAATAACACAAACTTGTGTTTTTACAGAGAGTTAGTAAAGCCAAGGTTCTACTGTACTCACACACTCAGTGAGGAATAAAAGTGAATCAAAATTAGTTTTAGTAAAGCAAAACATTGTCAAGCTCAGTCGTATCGGTACAGTGAAATAAATACAAAAAAGCTTAACTGTTCATTCGACCTTTAGTCGATATACTTATTTGAATGGTAAGGAGAAAAAGGTGTCTCAGTCTTTTTGATAGTGTTTTGCAGTGTTACTTACCAGAGTCAACAGATGTTGTACAATTTTCCTCCTTTCGAATAAGAGACAACTGTGCCAACATTTTCTCTTTAATATCAGGAGGTCTGGTGACAGGATAGGAATTCCCCATTATAGTCAATTTCTTCGAGTTATCGGAGCAGTTGCTAAAAACTTCTCCATTTCTGTGGAAAGTATTAAGCAGCTTAGAATTATTTGTGCTAGTACTACTACTATTGCTGTTGTTGTTATTGTTAGAAGTAGTAATGATTTTATGGTTTTGAACATTGTAGTATGCATTGGGAGTCCAATAACTATTGCGGTTAACATTTATCTGGGGTGAACTCTTTTGAATTGATTTCCAAGTGAAACGATTATCTAATTCTCCAAAGTTTAAATCAGGAAAGCTATGTTTATGAAGTTTTACATTGTCCGAATTCCATTGTGACCGTTCATCATCTTGATCATTAAATCGCCTTGGTAACCACACAGTCAACTTTTGTTCTGGAAGGCCACTGCGCCATAAGTTTGACCAGGAGTTTTCATATGTACAGCGATTAGACTGGACTGAAGTCGGAAAATTAATAGAGGAATTTGTAGATATACAATTATTCTCCAATGCACGCTCAGAAAAAGGTAGAGTGATGTGATGTGAGTAGCTGAATGGCTTTGGCAGTTGCTCTATTCGAATACCTGAAATATCATTTGTTAGAGGTTTATCTGTTGGAGATGTATTATTGGCAACTTTCTTTTGACATGATTTCAGACTGGATGGCTGATCTGCGCAAATATGGAGAGAAGATTATGGCGAAAGCTTAATAAAATTGACAGCGGAAGACTGATTTTGATACCATGTAAAAATTTTATTTGAGTGTAAAAGCCTTCACTGTCGTATCTCTGAAGTACTCACCTATGGCAACGGTTAACCAAAAGTCTTTGAACCAAGTTTTGTGTTCACGCGTGTGAGAAGCAGTATTACACAAAGAATTCATCGTTGTTTCGTGATTAGCATTTTGATCCTCTTCTATTTTTAATAAGTGTTGACACAGCTTCAATTAACTCATAATTTTAGCTACTAACATTATTCTAACTTCTTCCAATTCATGACATAGCGCGACCACTTTGCAGTGTCTTCATTGATGTCAGCTCATGATGAAATCCTCCAAATAACCAAACAAAATCACTACAAGGAACCAGTACTTGAAAATTCATCTGATACTCACTAGCGACCCGTCCTATTCAGACAGTGACCTGGGCTTCTAGTGGGAAGCCGTCACCAGTAGGGTGGAGCAGGTTGAAGGTGGGTCAGTAACTCATCGAAGAAGACATTGAGAAGTGGTCGTGCAATGTCATGAGTTGGCAGAAGTTAGAATTCATGCACTGGCTGGCCATTGTATCAGATCTCCGTTGCTAGTGAATGATCTACGAGCCCGCTGGCCTTGTAACCAGAAGGTCATGGGTTCGAACCATGGCGGTGGGTGCATACAGACGAAGAGTCACAAACTAGGACGAAACAGCTGTCCAGTACTCTCTTCAGGTTTTCCAGTGGTTCTCTAACTGATTGTCAGCTCATGATGAAATCCTCCAACCAATCAAACTTAATCCCTACAAAACCCAATACTTGAAAAATTACATTACTCTCATTATTATTTTACACCTTTTGTACATTTTTGACTTTATTGTCAATGCAAATACCTTAAAGCTACTTTAATCAAATCCTGGTTACGTATACCCTGTAATGTTATATTTTGTTTATGTTTTTTTTTCTGTTGTCGAGTAAATTAGATGCAATATTTTAACAAATGCTGAGATTTCCACACTGTACTATAAACACTGTTTGAGAATAGAGCAAATTATTGCTTTTCCAATAGACCGAGATTGACACATATCATGGTTTCCTTCCGAATTCCAGAATGTCAGTTAAAATTTGACTTCATCGTACCATCGGATAATTACAGGACACAGTTAACCATGGTGAAATTGTTATCATATGGACTATATTATATATGGATTATATAAACTACTGTTTATTAGTAATAAGTAGTATAAATTTGCATGAGAAGAAAACTGTAGTAACAGACCAATACAAATTAGTTAGGAAAAGAATTAAAACTGTCATGAAACTAAGTTATTACTTTTGAAGATTTACAAACTATTCCTACTTGAGGAGCAGGTTGTCTATCAATTCACTATGATTTTCAGACTTTTACGATCACTACAGAGAATGAACGTCACTCATGAGGTGCTATCCAGTGGAAGTAGGAGCGAATCTCTCAGTTTATTCTTCTACACATTTGATAGTGCTTTAATTTCAGGCAATCAGTAATGCCTGATCAAGATTTTTATACATATTTTTGAATCAGTTTTCAAGTCTTTCTAGATATTCAATAAAATTAAGAAACTAGACATTAACTCATAGAGCTATAATCGAATACAACAAACAGCTTGATGATTCATTTTTGACGTGATAGATGACATCTACCTCAGTATACTAAAGTAAACCAAATCTGTTTTTTTCATTCATGTACGTTTCTAGTAAAATATAGGGCTTTCAGCTATAGGCTTGAAGTTTTGGTAGTAGTGATGTTTTATTTTTACGGAATGGGGTTGCTAGCCTCATGCCCAACCTTCCCTCTTTACTAGTCTTATGACTGGCTTAACGAGGTAACGGAGTGCGTCTGGCGGGGATCAAACCCCAAACCGAATGCGTGGTTGGTGAGCATTCTACCGCTGTGCCACAGACGCACACCAACGTGCAACTCTGTGGTCTCTATCAGTTGGTGTAATGTGGGATTATTCTAAGACAAAAGTGCTTTCAGAAGTCACTTTCTTCCTTATTTCAGAAAAACCAGCAAGTGGTGATAGAAGAAACGGAATGTGAAAAAAGAATCCTACCTATACACATATACACATACATTTCACTCAGCATTTCTAACTCACCTTTCAATAATTTTTAGAAAAAGATTTCGACCTCAGTCAGAACCTGTTCAGTAAAAATCAGAGTACATGTCGATGAATCTGTACAAAAGGGAATCATACTGGGATTAGTCACAAAATTGTGAATCAGAATGGAGAAATTACTAAAAGTCAGTCACATTGCACCCACTTTAGTAAGTTGTTCATTGCTCATGGCACCACTGAGACTAACACATCTCATTTTACTTTTCATGATTATTAGCATCCATATGAGAACAGTCATCAAACTATTTACAACTGATAAAATACATTAAGTGAGCCATCTGATGGTGAGGTGTGCCTCAGAATTTGATTTTTCGTTTCCTAATAGTCTCCACGTGTATCTGAAACGCAGACAAACTTTAAACTGTCACTGAAGATAAAGCTTACACAGTTTAGTGATAAAAAAAAACAATATACCTACTCTTATTCTCCATCAAATAACCTTGATTCACTGCAGAAAATAGCTACAGTTTATCAAAATATTTCCTAATCCAGTTCTCTGCAATGGTGATCGATTTTAGATATATAAAATTCAAAAGTAAAACCTTCTATAGAAATGAATCGGAAAATCATGGACAAACTCACTTGATTTATACACACTCTTCACTGAAGTGGATTTCGTCTTCCTGCTGTTGCTGCTGCTGCTTCTATTTCCATTATGGTTTGAAGTAGATTGTAAACTCAGTCGCTGAAATTCCTCATTGAAAGAGTACTTCTTTTGATGACTCAATAGGCAGTTGGAATTATTCGGGTAACACGGTTTTAATTTTTTCATGGGAGCTCGCAACTGCGATATTTTTTCTCAGTTTTTAATTTCATGACGCAGTTTTTCTACGATTGACTCCTGATTATCACATATACTCAAAATAAATTAAACGCTTGGAATTTGTGGAGTTAAAATTTTATCCTGTTATATCAACAGAAACATGTGAAGTACTGTTGTTCTGTGATGCTTTGGGATGAAATCAGTGCTCGGTACAGGTAAGTTCAATACACACCTGGTCAAAATAAAATTAAAACGAACTTCACCTATTTAAAATCATTGTTATAGAAAAATAGAGAGGGATGATGCACGATTTAAATAAAAAGAAAACTAATTTATACAGAACAATCTGGAACAATGATCTTCCAATCATTTTCATTTCGACAGTTAGGTGGTTATCCTCTATAAAAATCAGCACAAATTAAACCAATTAAGGAAACTGGAGGCAGCCTAAACACCAAAGAGAGAAAAAAGAAAACAACGTGATGATAAATTCAAAAGACCACAGACTCCAAAATAGGGTGGAACAAGTCCTAAAATAAATGAGAAAAACAAGGAAGAAGCTACAAAGGACCCATTTGTAGAAGCCACCAGGACAACGTTTGAGACATTAGGAAACGTCATTGAGCAAAGATGAACGCTAGAACTTCCTAAAAGCGATGTAGAAGGACACCAGTATAGATATCTTAGGCAAGAGGGGAAGCTGTATGGCTCTCTATGGGAGCCTAAAGAGGAGAGAAGGATGGTGAAGCAGAAGATGAACAACGAAAGGATAAGCTAAATAAAAAACTATAGAACATTGAAAGAAATGGTGAGTGAGATTGCTAAGAAAGGTAAAAGACGCTTTTATAACACAGCGGTAACCGAGGCACAACAATTTGCAGGTAGGAGAGACTTCACAACACTGTGTCAAATCACCAGCTCATCATTCATCAGAAGACTAGCATAGATGAAACTAACGAAAGACAGTGAAGGAGACCCAATTAACAACGATACGGAACAGAGTAGTCGGTGGGCTAGTCATTTCATAAAAGTCTTGAGTCGACCACCACCTACAACTCGTCCAGAGATAGTACCCACCAATAGCAGACACAGAACTGCCAGTGAATACCAACCCTGAGACAAAATCAGAAGTGTTGAATGTCATAAAGTTGCCAAAAGCCAGACAAGGGAGCTGCAGGACAAGATGCTACTTCCACAGAAGTATTGAAAACGGACACACAGACCTAAAGGGATATGCCTATATAATTATTGCAAAAATCAGGAAAGAAGGAAAGGTACCTGAGTATTGGAAGAAATGATACCTTGTCAAACCACCAAAGAAGAATGTCCTAAGCCTTTGTAAGAACTGGCGCAGAGTCATGCTTCTTTTCCACGCCAAACAACACACTAAGTCGTATTATCCTAGAGAGACCTAACTATGTTCTGGATGCGAAGCTCTGTCCTAAAAAAGCTGGGTTCAGAAAACACATTTCATGCTCTGAATAAATTGCAACACTACGCATCATCATCGAACGGATTATAGAATGACAGTCAAACCTCTACTTGAACTTCATCGACTATGAAGAGCCTGTCAACAGTGTTGACCATGAAGTATTTTGATGACTGATATCCAAGAGCATCTCCACAAACCCTAGTAAACTTCATTCAGCATCTACACAGTGATGCCACATACCAAGTAATGCACCACGGAAAACTCTGTCAAGCTTTTGGAGTAAAGACAGGAATGTGAAAAGGCTGTTTACTACCACGTCTGATATTCCTGAATTTTTTGGAGTGGATCATTGTTTACACTGTGAGGAATCAGAGTAAGTACATCCACCTAACTGAGGAAGAGCCTGAGGATTATCTGAGTCTCGCATATGATCTATGTTTGAGGTCTCACGAACTGCAGGGTTTATTTGAGGAGACGGCGTCTTTGAATTTAACTGACGACAACAAGCTCCGATGGAGATCACTGGAATAAGTCCAAAGGAATCCATCTGTTTCACTCATGAAAGAAGTATGGTATGAATGTCATGAATGGGGAGTGACGAGTTATAACCTCTTTCATATTCTGCTTTACACCATTACCAGTCCTTTACTGGATAAAACAACACGCGTGGTTGAAAAATTCACTTGTTTCAAACAAGAGATACGTTTTTGGGTGTAGATTCAAATAATACAGTTTAAGGGAAGAACGGAACACAACACCGTTGAGATTAGAAAAGACTTTTATTACTAGTGAATTAGCCAACTTTGGTTACAAAAAATTACAATTATGAAATAGTACAATCCACTTTTGTCAGATTTAACTTTTGAGTAATCTTTGTTTTCTTTCTGACGACATTAACAAGTGGAACGGAAAGGGGCCAATTTTGATGTCAGATAACACTGTACTGGTAAGCCACAATAAGGATAACTCATTTCTTAATGAAATCGATGGTTAAGTCCGATTCATAATAAACGAGTGCTTTAGTTTCATGACAGGATGCAGAATAAAATATTCTTTGCATAAAAATATAGTTGTTATCATCTGGACCCGTTATCTCTGATTTCAGCAATTTTTTCCTTTTACTTCAGAAAATTTTCTCCAGTTTTAAACCGATTGAAGAATAATAATCGGTGGACTTCACAAAGACATCATTCACTCGGCGCGTATGAATACGGTCGTAATTGTAATTGATAGGAGATAATTAGTGATACTGCAACAAAAACGAAAAAAATGAGCGCCAAGTTATCGATGATGATAATCTTTTAAGCACTTCCTATGGATTGTTCACATAGTTTGTTCAGAAGAAACGAAACATTCAGTTTGAGGTAAATTTTGTAAAAACACATACTGATTAGAGGACCACTGGAAGCCGGGGAGCAATGTAGAGCTGTTTTATTTTAGAGGCTCTACAGAACTGCCCATAAATCGGTCGAAGTTAGTGATCATCATCTTTTGTATTCCAGCCAATTGGCTAGGTGATAAACTGCACACTTTGTAATCTTATGGTCTTTGGATTGACGCTTAAGAGTTCCAAATTGGGAGTATCCACCTCTCATAAACCCAATAATTTAAATATTTACTGCTTGAATTAATATGCAGTAGTATCAAATGCAATATAACAGTAACAGAGTAAGGTTAGACTGGTCAATATCTAGTTACAAGGAACAGTGTTCTAGATGCATTTAAGTTTTTTAGCCCATACATTGTTTGTCTGTTTAATTATTTTGTTCCCAGAACTTTTGATGTCAAGTGGGTGTTACTTCTACTGCACATTAAAAAGATTGGGTTCCTTCACCTGTTGTCATTGTTTAAAGAATGTAGTGAGTGTGGAATGCGTAAAAATTTCGAAATCTCATCCAGGAAATCGCAACTCATAACCTTAGATCCAACAACTACGAAAAATTTAGCAGAAGTGGTAAATGCCATGAGAAGACAGTTTAAGATAAATTTGATATTCAGCGATTTAATCCCGGACAACAGCAACCAAACCGCAGCAGCTAGTAAAAATATGAGTCACTTTCAACTACATATGTGTGAAGATATGGAGATGGTTTTGTAAATAAATTAACCATGGAATTATCGAATTGTTGGGTGGTGGGTATTCCAAATTCCGAGGAAGAGTATCATAATTGTTGCATTTAGGTCAAAAGGCGAACAGTAGACCCATTTATTGGCCAGTGATTGTGCACTACATGACAAAATCTTTGCTGTCCATTAAAAGCACACAGTCTTAACTTAAGAGGTTAAAATACATAAAGGAATGGCGACTTTTGTCAGTTACTAGAACAATCAGGATGGCATTTGTCAACTAGAATGAATACATTTCACTCAAATAACTTTTATTAGATATACAATACAGTTATAAAGTTGAGTACCGAAATAACGGATTATCATCTGAAGGTCATAGCAGTGAGGAGACAATTTAGAAAATCAGAGATTAAAGTTTATTAATTACTGCGAAATTGAAAAAGTACACAAATAAACACAGTATCTTTCAGTACATTCCTTTATCTAAGCGTTGAGTTAATTTTTGGGAGACAGACCAAGTGACGCTGCGATGGACGATAATCAAAGTGGAAGGAGTTTCAAGAGCTTTGAGATTTGATGGTGGTCATGATTCCAGTAGCTTATTTTGCCTGTTTTCCCTTAAGTATAAAATTCGTGAGATAAGTTAACTAGGATCTTTAGTTCCTGTTATAATCAAGAAACCTCCTACTAGTTATTGATTCTATGAAGCATGCTATTGAGGTCGCATATGCTAATACAAGAAAAATAAATGTAGAAAATATCTAAGATGTGGACATATAGAAGGCTTTTTCAAGCTTCACCTTGGTTGTACTCATTCAAATCTATCCGGTAGCAGATCAATGTTCACTTTGAAAAAAAAGACTAAGACTATTTTCAATGTTTGTAATGTTTAAGTTTTGAATAAACAGGACTATGTTCAGGTATCATTACATGATGATCCCGTTCGACTTCAGCTTGAACCTGCCCCAAACATAACTGTGATATCCACGAAACCTTCGCAGTTTATTGGATGTCCGTCAGTTCCCGCTACATGCCGTGTTGTTGGAAATGGTTCTGGAGATATTTTAAAACTAGTTAGTGAAATTACTTGTGACTTTAAATACATGTCAAAGAATTCCAGGCGTTTATGTTACCTTACGAAATGTTATGACCTGTGTGGTGTGTGCTATTGATAAGATTTATCAGACATTTATCCGCATAAAAATATCAAATAGTGGAGAGACAGATTCGATATCAAAGAGAGCAAATGACTTAACGTTGCTAAAGGCATGGGAGACACGAAAAGAAGACAAAGAAACACAATACGAAGGGTAGAAGTAGTACGACACGGAAGATCTATGCAAATGACTACTTGCAGATAAGGTGTACATAATTTCACTATATAGAGATACCAAATTCCAATTAAGCAGTTCTTTAATTTATCTCTTGTCTTCTACCGTTACATCCGGACCTTTGGGGTATTGATTGGATTGATGACTCTATCCCATTTGAAAATATCTTCAGATCCAGTTTGTTCACAAGTATGTGCGGCTCCTCGAATAATGATTGGTGGACTCATAAATAACTTGATGAGAGTTTTACATAGCAAACATAAAGAAGTATCTAGAAGAACTTCAGGTTGTTGCTCAATCTAGGGAGCTAAACTATACCTCTGAAATGTTTATAAGCCAGTTTAAAAACCAAGAAGACCACTTCTCTACGCGATCATTCAATCAGTCTATTGTGAGTTGGAT